AGCAGCCAGTCCTGACAGAGGGAAAGTTCAGTTTGCACTGGAAGAGCCAGGACACATTTCTGAGAGCAAACAGGAGCTGGGGACTGATAAGGAGTGGGACATTAACCCAGGCTGGGATGGAGTGGCTGGAGAGAGGGAAGTGCCACACTCCTGGCCAGACCTCAGCCAGAGCCTGAGCTCAGAAATGCTGCAGCGAGTGCTGACCATTCACCAAGGCATTTATCATATTATAAAGGGCTCCTGGGTGCTGGTGGCTTTTTTGTTTCCCTGCTCAGTCCAGCAGCTGGGGTTTGGTTGTGTTTTTTTCCATCATCCTTCTCCATCCAAGCAGGTTAAACAGCGTGATTAGTCCAGGTTAACTGCAAGCAAGGGATGAACCTTCCGGAGGTGAGGGACATGTTTCAGTAGTATCCTGGGAAACATCTGGGAACTGGAGAGACAGGTTGCATGTACAGGTCACGGGAGCCTGTTCCCTCTCCCAGTTTGTTTGTCTTTCCATTGGACCAGGTCAGCCACAGCACGAAGTCCACGTGTGTGTGGTCAGAGGGAATGGTGCTGGAGCATTTCCCTCCTGCTCCAGCTCTTTGCTCAGGCTATCTGCAAAGGAGGCAGAAGCCCCCCTGTGCACAGGGATGTGGCCCTGGAATGCTCTCAGCTCCAGTGGATGTGCCCTGACCCTTCCATGCTGCTGCCCTGCGCCAGGACAGTTCTTCGAGGCACAACCTTAACCCTCACCACAGCCAGGGCCATTAAACCCCAGTGTGAAGTAGAAGAATGACTCAGGATTTTTCCCTAGGGAAGCTGCCCAAATATTTTACCATATTTGCTCTCCTGCCTCCCATGCACACAGGCTGTTCCCCCGAGGTGGCAGTGAGCAAGGGATTACCAGTGGGGAAAAAAATGCAGTGGTTATGCAAGGGGAGGCAGATCCCAGCCCTGCACCCACATGGGCCCTGCCCTGGGTGAGCCAGCCCCTTCCCAGACTTTAAACCCAAAATACAGCTCCCTCTGCCTCCCTGTTTCCTTCAGGATTCCTGAAATATTTCCCTGTAAAAACAGATCTCTGCAAAAAGGCATAATGATATAAAAACAGGGTTCATTTTTACCCTGCTATAAATAGCCCCAGGGTGGCCCTGGCTCTCAGCTGGGCTGGGGGGGGTGCTGAGAGTGAGGTGACACTGGGCTCAGGCCACCAGTGCCCTGAGTTTGGGGTTTTGAAGCTGTTCCTTCAAGGATAAAAATAATCTCTGGAGTTTTTAAGGGTTCTGGGGTTTTTTTTTATTATTTTTGGTTTTGAAGAGGTGTGGATGTTTTTTTTGCGTTTCCTTCCTGCATCCCCATCAGTCTCTGCAGCTGGTTCTGCATCCTGCAATCAAACTCCTGGTCCTGACTGAAGTGCTGGGGAACAGCACAGTGATGGGTAGCAGCCAGAGAGCTCTGTGGAGGGGGACAAGCACTGCTGTGCTCCCCTTGGCCACGGGTATCCAAACGGGACGTGTCCTGGGGCCACTCCAGGAGCTGGCAGAGTCCCCGGCCAGATGATGTCCATCTGGCTGCAGAAATGAAGACAGACACGCTGTGCTGGAGGTTAAGCTGCAGCTTGTTCCACTCAAGAGGAGCATCCTGCTACTCCAAAAGCTGCTCTGCCAACAACCAGACCTATGGGTGGTGGAGAAACATGTTGCCACCCTGTCACCTCTTCACGCCACAGGAGAGGATCCACATGGACGCTCAGCTCTCACCCTCTCCTGCCTGGATGTGGAGCTGCTGTGGACTTCACTCGTCAATCCTCAACAGCAGCAGCAGCTTTGCTAAACCCATGGATTGGGAGGGAAAGCCATGGATTCCTGGCTCCCATGAGGACACTGCCCTTGGCTCTCAGCAATTACAGAGATGGCTCCTTCCCTGACCACGTTGGAGAGGACACAGGCTCTGCAGTGCTCCTGGTGAGGGAGGAATTCCTCCATCCCCACAGCAAACTGATGGTCTTCTGAAAAGCACCAGCCCTGGCAAGTGCCACCTGATTCTCTGTTCAATTTGCAGCACCAGTGGTTGCTGGCAGGTCGTTGCAGAGGCTGCTGTGTGTCACCTCAGCCCGTCCGTGCTCCCCGGAGCTTCTACCCGCTTATGAGCACCACATATTTTATTTCAAGGTGACTGAGGAATAATCAATACCCTGCCTCCCTTTCCTTCTTGGAGGAGCAAAGCGAAGTCAGTCAAGGACAAATGGCACCACGACGTTCCTCCCGGACACGTCACAGCCAAAACCTCGGAGCAGGAGGGAAGGTGCAGCCACGGCTTCGTCGCAAACACCACGTTTAGACAAAGTGGTAAATAAAATCAGGGAATGCAGACTTCTACCTGAACAGCCAGGGCTGTCCTGCAGGCGAGGTGTGGACACAATGCCAGTGCTGCAGAAAGAGCTCAGCACCAGGGGCTCAGGGCTTCTGATGGTGCAGCCATCAAGCCTGAGCTGTTTCAGTTTAAATCCCCCGTTCCCACCAGGATTTTTCTTGGGAAATGCCCATCTTGGGAAATGTCCATCTTGGTACCCAAATCCTCATGTCTTCAGGAGGCACTGCTCAACTCTGAGAAGGTGCACCCAAGGTGGGTCTGTGGCACAGCCAGGGAAGCCCAAACCCACCATCCACGGACGTCAGGTGATGTAACGAAGGATCCAACGTGCTCCAGACTGACTCGAGCCAGGGAAGAGCCTCATAGGGGCGATCCTGACTGAGCACACAGGGTAGTTCCAGACCCTAAACTATGGAGGTTGTTCTTTGTTTCCTTCCATTAACACTTCCCATCATCTCCTCCTGCGAATCTCACGTGGAACCAGCACTGGGTGAGTCCCACAGAAAGAGCAGGGATAGGCACTGAAGTGGAGAAAGTGGGAGCTTGGGAATCCTGCTCGTTCAGCCCAGCAAACATCAAAGAGGTGGCAAGAGGAGCAGGGGCCGCTCTGGTGCTGGAAACCAAACTTGGGCAGTGGGGAAGTTCGAGGACAGGGATCCCTGAGATGGCCCCTGGGAGATGTTGCCATCCCCTTGTAGGTGAGGTGATGCTGTGAGCACTGGGAGCTCTGTGCTCTGTTGTATCCCAGTTTGTGCATGAATGGAAAAGCTGTTGGGGTGCAGGGAGGAGCTGAGGGGTCCTGGGGGATGCTGAATGTTTCCAGCTTGGTCCCAGCCCTCCTGCAAGGGGGGTTAGATCAGGGGTCCAGGGCCCAGTGGTTGGATCATGCTCATGTAGTTGATGTCTGGAGTTGGTGCTGAAGGTCACTGTCACTGTCCCCCTACTTTGTGACAGTCTCACCCCAAGGGCAGGAGATGGGGGAACTTTCCTGCAGCCATTGCTGGGGCTGGGAGAGGCAGCAGGAGGAGGACTGAGCTGGGGATCCCTTTCCCTGGGAATCTGTCAGCAGAGATGGGCAGGACACACCCCAGGAAGGTGCCTCCCAGCTCAGCCCAGCTCTGCCTGTCCATGGGGGGCTGGCTGTTGGGGAGGGGGGTGATGGGGAGGGCAGTGGGGCAGAGAGCCAGAAATGGGGTGCAAGCTCGACTGGGGGTGCCACAGGACACCAAGGGGGTTCTGTTGCCATTCCCAAGCATGGAATGCTTAAGTAGGGGAGGGATGGCTGGGAGAGCTGAGGTACCTGTACAGGAGGTGCCCATACAGGGAGTGCCTGGCAAGAGTGCACCCAGGACATGCCAGTGCAGGGGCACCTGTACAGGGGGTGCCCAGGGAGGGGGTGCTCAGGAGATGCAGGAGCAGGGAAGGTGCCCAGGAAGGGGGTTCCCAGAAAATGCCCGTGCAGGAGATGCACTCACAGGGGGTGCCCAAGAAAGGGGTGCCCAGGAGATGCCTGGGAAGTGTGTTCCCATGCAAAGGGAGCCTGAGAAGAGGGTGCCCAGGAGGTACCCATGCAGGGATTGCCTGGGAAGGTGGTGCTGGTATAGGGTGTGTCCAAGAAAGGGGTGCTCAGAAGATTCCTGGGAAGGGGGTGCCCGGAAAAGGGGCACCCAGGAAAGGAATGCCCAGGAGATGTCCATACAGGGGGTTCCTGGGAAGGGTGTACCCAGGAAATGCCCAGGAAGGGGGTGTCTGGGAAAGGGGTGCCCAGGAGATGCCTGGGAAGGGGATGCCCATGCAAGGGGGGCCTGGTAAGAGAGTGCCCAGGAGGTTCCCAAGAAAACAGTGCCCAGGAGATGCCCATGCAGGGGGTGTCCGTGAAAGGAGTGCCCGGGAAAGGCGTGCTCAGAAAAGGAGTGCCTGCAAAGGGAGTGACCAGGAGGTGCCCGCGCAGGAGGTGCCCGGGAAGGGGGTGCCC